TTCCCTAACCTTTCAAGGTTTTGTCTAGGTTAGTATCTAACCTTTCCAACAATTAAAGTCACTTTATAATAACATTTTATACACTTCAATCAGTGTATAATAGTTCTTCAATCATTTATACGATTTAGACAATAGAGAGGAAGGTTTTGGATTCAAACTTACTTTGAATACAAAAACGTATTCCGCGAGGTTGTGTTTTGCTCGGACGATTTGGAAGCCTTCCACTACTCCGATTGATGCAAACCAGACATCCACGGATTCCTCGTCTTGAGAGCTTTCTTTTGGTATCTTATACGCTTTAATTGGACGAGTGAATCTCGAGTTATGGCTCAAACAATCAGAGCTACGCACTGAAGAACGAACCTGCGGACAGCTTGCTCTCTCTTTGGCTTATCTTGGTTATGTGGCTCTCTCCTTCTCTCTTATCTTGGGGAGTTCGAATGGGGTGTAGGGGGGAGTGTAAAGGATGCCTTAAACATGCTAAGAGAGCATGTGGCTCACAAAAGAGCATGGGAGACATTGGTTTGCAATCAAATGTGAGGTGGACCTCCACTTTTATTTCTTTTTGTAATGTATTGCTCTTAAGTCAACATGCTCGCCCCATATAGTCATCTCACCCATTTTTTCTTTGTCTTGCAGGTACTCAAGTCATGTGGAGTGGTTCCCAATTGATCCCAATCATTTTGGGGTCCAAAATATATATCAATACTTCCAAAAATGGGAAGATGGGTCCTATAGTTTTATCTTTTGTCAAAGATGTCTTTTTGTACTCATCCTAATTTATTTAGAACAAGTCAACTTCCTCCATCACATTATTGATCTCCAATATGTGTAGGTTCATCACAATAATTTACTTGATGGATATCATAGCAGGAAAATCCTACTCCCATTATTTAGCTCAATAATGCCAAAGATGGGGTTATAGGCATTTGTATTCTTCTTTAATCATTCTATCACTTATTTGACATTTGTCATACATATTATTGGGCTACTAGCCGTGTGGGTCACTCCCGAGTGGGTCTAGAACGTCATTCTCGAATACTTGCTATTTTTAGCAGGTTGGGCCCCAAATAATGTTTGGGCCGCCCGACCTTCCTCAAATTGTCTTGAAAGATTATGTATCACTATTTAGATAATGTTGGGCTTTTTTTTATTTATTAATAAGTCCCGAATAAGTATTTGCAAAACCCGACACTAATGTACGAGTTTGAATAGTACGATATTCAACCATGCACTACGTAGGACATTAATCGTTTTACAATTGTTTGGAGTCGGAAATTCGATACATATATTTGAATTTAAATTGAATTTTCAAGGACGTTCGGGTGCGGTGTCACACTCCAATATTAAATGAGCATATATAACTTACGAAATGAGCATCGAAAAATTTAAAATGAGCATTATACCAATATCAAAAGAGCCTACATAACTAAGTCCACAATCCGCTTGAAATCTTTCTTTGTGAACCTCAAATAGGATAAGGGGCTCCGAATTTCATTCTCTCCCAAAGCTAGAACCCATCCTGAGGCAATCGGAAACAATGGGATTGAGCTGTTGTGCCTCCAGATCTTCAAAGACAGCAATACCTCAACGGTGGCTCCTCAACTATGTAGATAGCGAACAACTTGAATGACGACTCATGCTCGCGATGCTTGTTGAAATTGCTACTTTTAGGTTGTAAATGAGTTAGGCGGAATTGTCATTTCTATTCATGCTGGATATAATAGGTAAACATTTAACACTGCCGTTGACTAGAGAAGGTTTAATAGTTTCTAGTGATATCATTTTACCTATATATTGACTACTAGTTTTTTTTACGCGCGTTGCGCGTGTGGTATAATGCTCAATACCATTGACAATATAGTTTTGAATCCAGCAAGATTATCCACTCTTTCAAAGGATATGATATGCATCCTAGAACGACAATGAATTTGTTTCTAAGAAGTTAAGAAATTAAGAAGTTTGATTAGAACTTGTGTGAAAGTTAGAAATGAGTACATGTATCCTAATAACCGCATGGTTGAAAAAAAATCATATACTTGACATCCAAGCATTAAATCATATGCATGCATGATAACTACACTTGGAAATTTGCAAATTGTGGTATATCGTTGGAAAAGGTATGATATAAATTTATTAATCTTGAACTTTGGTTTTTGGGGGATAGCCGGATAGGATAATTCAAGATCACTAATCAATTTATGTTTCTTAATCAATTTATGTTTCAAAATTGTTAAACTATATATATATATATATATATATATATATATATATATAAAATGTTAGATAATACAATGGTATATTACGTTCAGTTTTTTTTAGGAGAATGTATTAAAGAGGGGGGTATATTTCCTCTTTTTGAGGGATTATTACAGAAAATGCTAACAAAATCATAACATGAATATATTAACATCCTTTTCATGGTATGCATGGCTTGGTTCAACATATTCCCTTAACCATGAGCCGAATTTGTAAATGTGATCAACACTGTTTAATACCATTAAATCAAATGGAACAACTTTCTGTCAAAAAAAATCAAATGGAACAACTTACTAACTAATTTTGTATAGTCTACTAAATAAACATAGAATTCACATTATAAGCTGATTTTTTTAGAAATGAGTGCATAGCTATTAGCCTATTGGTAAATATACTACGTAGTACAAATTAGCGCATAGCTATTAGTTCATATTAAATTTAATCAACTTCTTCAAATAATCGTCAAAATAAATCTCAGGAGTGTAATTTGTCATTTATAAGTTACGATTGGATGTAACATAGTTAAATAATGTTTTGAAAGAAAGCCATATATGATTTCATTTGAAGAAGTTGGAGATTGAATAAATACACACCTAACAACATTGGGGATTGAGTTAATTACGTTTGCCATAGAATCAGAGCCGCATAGTCTATAATAACTACAAAATTATATATAGTTATCATGACTTTATCAATCAATTCGTACAAAATAATGGAAATTCAGAATAGGGAAAAATAATTTAAATATCTCAAACTTCAAAGAGGTGTGATATAAGTAACTCAAAGTTGCACTGTAATGTATATACCTCAAGCTATATATAAATATTTATGTTAGCACCATGATCATATTTTTTTAGAGATGTAATTTTATGGTGTTGAGTAGTACATAATTAAAAATACACAGAACATTTATAAGGATGCAATTAAAATTAAATGGTATCAGATGTAATATTATTTATTTCACAAATGAAATTTTAGAATGTTAAGTGCATTTTGACAAAACTTAGAATATTTTAAATTATGTAATTACTTCAACAAATTTGTGCTTGTAAAAAAACATACAATCACAATACAAAAATAACTTTTTATATAAAGTTCAGGACATATATATTACATATGCAAGTTTGAGCTAGTTATCTCACATCTCATTAAAGTTTGGGGTATTTAAATTATTTTCCCCTTCAAAATAAAAAATTCACGACCGGCTTACTTTCTACAATTAAAATCAACTATTTATCTGTAAGAATATTATTTATAAAAGTTAAAAGTATAGTGTCTTAGAGATGAGTGAAATATAATTTTTATTTTATTTTGAAAACTGATGCACCTTTGTGTTACTCAGATGCACTTTTTATCCATATAAATGCATATTTTCACTTTATTTTTCGAAAAAGTTTCTAATTTTTACACTTTTGCCGCTGCGTTTGAGCTTTAAAATTGTTATGATCCACTTTTCAATTCTAATATGGAGTTTTTTATGTGCTAATTAGCTCGGGAGAAAATATAGTAACAATTGTGGCATGCTAACCCGTTTTCCCCCTACTAACCCGTTACAGCAATATCCATCTTCCAAGTAAAACAAAAAAAGGAGTTTGTCCATGACCTTGAAGCAATGGCGTAAGTCTGATCGCAACTCATTCCATCAATAAACTAAATCTCTGACCAGTTTACACGTATTCATTCAGTCAATTCATTTTTTCCTGCAATCCAGCACCATCAATATATTCACTCACCAAATTTTTTCCTTATTAAAGTCTTGCTTTTATTACTCCGTAGTATACATTATCCTTTTACGAATTTTATTTATGCTAATACTTATGATTTAATAAGTCAAATATTTGGATGTAAAAATAAATAAATTGGGGGTTCAATTTTTTTCGTTATTCTAGAACTGTTTTTAAAAAGATTAACTGAAAGATGTCAAAAATAGAAAACGTAATCCATAGATCTTAATTTTAGCATTCAAATCTATTCTCGAAAAATTTTGGATTAAAAAAACTTTAGTGGATTAATCTCATATTTATTTTTAACTTTATATATACGGAGTACAATATTGATGTCATATGAAAGATAATAAAAAATTATGAATTTTGATATATTTTTTATAAAAAAATATACGTAGTAAAATAACAAAAGTTTCCGCACTTTAAAGAAAAAAAGGAATTTCAAATTTTAATGGGTCCCACGTCCTGACACATGCGCAGCCCATTTTCTTCCTGGATCGGGGCCCCTCTACATTTTTTCGTTCCAGCCAATTAGAGAGGGATTGACACTTCCACCCTATACGTTGCAGCCGGCCTAGACCCATTTAAAGCAAATGGTTGAAGATGTCTTCAATTTTTAACTTAACGGAAAGCAAACGCCACAAAAACGGAAGAAGAGCTTAGAAAGGCCAATGAATTAAAAACGTACAAGTTATTATGCATACTGAACAAATTGTTATAGCTCCCTTATTACACCAACATTTTTTCCATTCCTAATACACCCTTACAATCATTGGTGCTTATAGTTTTTTAAGATAACTCATTGCGTTCATGGACAATTCTCTGTGCAATTTAGTCTTTCCCATCGGTCAATGGTTCAAAACCAATGTCAACTAATAAACCAGGGAGGCAGGGAACTTGTGGTTATTTTACAAAATTCCACTTCAAGCCTGCTCCTATTATATCCATGCTCATAGTTAGGGCCATGAAATAAAATACAAAAGGCCATGGAGCACAAAATAAAAGTAAACCCCACAAAGGCACCAATTATCTGAGAAAACATGTCATTGATAATCTTGTGTTACATATACAAGCACAACCCATGACAGTGCACCTTATAAACTGATTCAAATGTCTAAAAATTAGGGAATAAACTTTTCAGGCTGGAGACAAGATATTCGGTGTCTGTAACGATAACTTCTGCTTTTGAAGATGCACGGGCAAAGGTGGTCATCTTCCGTTTGAATTTGGAAGCTAGAGAGGTGTCAATATCAACCGATTCTTTAATAATAACTTCTTCAAGCGCAGGAGCTCTTGCAAGGATCGTTTTAATAAAGGCCACTTCCTCTCTTAATCCATTAAATGATTGCATCTTCACCGATTTAAGCTTGCACAGATCCTGATCATCAAACCATCTGTTTGGATCTTTTGGTATACTCAAATCAGGGAAATCAGCTTCTTCTTCTTCTTCTTCATATGAGACCTGTGACTACAACAAAACAATGTTAAAAAATATTAAAACATAAATATCCAGCTTTTAATAACCAAATGCACAGGTTAACTTTAGGATATTACGGAGTACAACCTTAGGTTTAATCTCAATTCCTAGTTCAAGTAGGTTTGGACATTTTTTAAGCAATTGAATGACAAGAACAATGTGCTTCTGGCAGAGAAAAGCAAAACCATGTAGCTTAATCACTTGCAGATTCATTGCAGTTGGGAACCACTCTTGGATATTTTTTTCAGGTTTAACCTTCATAAGGTAAAAACAAATGTTAACCTTGAATAAAACAAGAACAATAACAACAAAGAGAAAAAAAATAGATTTCGCAACATTATTCACAAATGAAAGGTAAGGCTCTCACCAAAACTGAGTCTATCGTCAGAGAAAGGTTTTTAATCCCTAAGACATGAAGTTCAAACCATTTCAAATCAATAGGGGAATTAGCATAAACAACTATGAGGCTTTTAAGTTTCGGAGCACTGAACACAAAATTATCTATCCGATGACACCAACATAGACTGAGCTCCTCAAGATTAGGAATGTTAACCGGGAGAGTTCCACTGGCCTTAGCCTTAAACTCAACTTCAGTGAAAATAATAGAGGTCACACCAGATAATATACTACCATGTGGAGCACAAACCGGGCCATAAAAATCAATAGCATCAACATACAGTCTCTTTATTGTCGGGCAGGAAAATATGCAAGCCGGTATTGTGAGCTTCTCACTGTCCGGATGAGGAAGAATACTTAGGTGAAGTTGCTCGATACCATTTTTTGATAGAAATAGACACAAACCATCAAGATCAGATTGTTCAGGAGTATTGAACTTTCTATAAATTGAGAAGGAGAAAATCTTAACTGGCCCAGTACGGAGCAGGAGAACGTTAGTTATCGTTTTCACTAAAAACTTGAAATCATCCTCATCACGGCCTCCATTTGGGCAATCTTCCCAACCAAAGACAAGCTGACCGTGCCGCAACCAAACATCCTTCCATTGCCTGGAGAAAAGAGCAGTTTTGGCTGCGCTTCTAGTGTCTAAACGCTCCAATATTTTGTGCTTCAAATCTTCCGGTAGTTGACTTATTAGATCCGACCCAGGTTTGCTTCGACGACGACGAGCCATTAGCTCGAAACAGCTCGGAAGTATGCAAAAAAAAAAGCCTTCAACAGAGTACCCAATCTACACTTAAACCAGTCGACCAGTAAGTCTCGATTTCCGGTAGGGATGGGCACGATCCTGTAGTGTCCAATATTTGGCCCAACCCGTACCCGTACCGTTATTATTGAAACAATTCGGTACGATTCGGTCTTAGACCCAAACCTGTTCGGTACGGTCCATTTTCAAACGAGACGGTATAATGCCATACCAATACCAAACAATGTCACTTTTTCCAGATGTTTGAAAAAATTAAAGTTTAACCATCCTCCAAAAATCCACACAATTTATCAATTTTCATATATCATACTACCTTCATTCCAAATTGATTTGCGAAGTCAATCTTTTTTTGGTCAAACAATTTCTTTTTATTCACTTAATTAGAATTTCACTTTTTAATTATATTCTAATTTGGCCTTTCAAAAAAACTACTCCATACTTTGTATATTTTAATTTCGATTTTGCAACTTTAGAGAGATTTTAATGTGGTTTCTAAATATGTAAATTTTAATTATTAAAAATTGTAGTAATTATCAAGAACTTAACATTAACTTTGACATAAAAATGTTGGCTTTGCAAATCAATTTGGGACGGATGAGATAATTAATATATTTTAGATAAACTATAGTAGTACAAATTTAATAAACCATACTTCGGTCCGTTTCGCTCTGGTACCAGTTTTCATTTTATGAGAATCGGTCATGGAATTGTTTGGAACCGGTTCGGTCCGGTTCGGAACAAAAAAATTTGAGATCCGTTTCAAACCCCGTTTATCGGTCCGGTACCATACCGGTCTGGTTCGGTGTCATGCCGGTTCGGTATTTTTGTCCACCCTTAATTTTCGGAGTCATTTCTTGCATAGAGAAGAAACCAGAGGAACACCTTAATGAGGCGAAAAGGGAATGGATTCTATTCTTAAACCTTATGTCATTTGGACCTTATTTTTTAGTATGAGTGGTTCGGTACGGTATACCTTATATTTTTTCTCATACCTTTGTCGTACCAAAACTTTCGGTATGCAAAATTTGCATACCTTTACCTTACCGAAGTTTCAGTATACCGAAGTTTCGGTTCGGTAACGGTACGGTATCGGTAAATTGCCGGGCATGTCTCCCAATACAAAAAATTATCATAGACTAACAAAATATATTAAATCGTTATTACTAGTGACATATTAAATCTAATATTAAACTATTACTACCTCTATCCGGTTGACGTGAGGTTTGACTCCCCACACAAACTGGCCGTAACACTCAAGCGTTACAAGTCATCACACCCAGAGGCCAAGACCTATCAACCATATATGAAAAAGGCGATCATTTTCCACAACATTTTGATTGTTAAAATTTTTGTACTTGTGTGGCTTGTTTTCAAAATTCTCTTGTAATTGCATACTTTATTTAATAATAATAAAAAAGTGTGGGTTCACGATTGAGTAAATTGAAAAATCAACCTCCTTTTAACTCACCTAAATTTGAATCTTCAACGGAATGATGGCCTCGCAATGAAAAGAACTAGAAACAAGCAATCCATTATTTACAAGGACTTGATTGTTTGACATACTTGAGCGTCAGAATGTGCGGTTACAATTAAAAAGGTAAATTTTATAAACCTGTATGTCATAAACAGTTAACCAAACTAGCTAACACTTAATTTTTAAATGAGGCCTTATAGAAGAGCAGTTAACTACTTGAGTTTTTTATTCTCCCAATGACATTCATTTGGAGACCTTATATGTGAAAAACTTGTAAAATCCAAAGATCAAATAATAATTTATTACTTGATCAAAGAATTACACGTTTTAAGAGCAAACTGGAGTGAGCTTTAGACATCAAATGGCAAATAGAACTCTAAAAGGTAATGCACTTAGTAAAGTTGATACAAACCACTAAAATACATTCTTAAATTCTAGCAGAACAAGAGAAGCATTGGAGAATATGCAACACATGCATGGAAGAACCTATGTAGCAGGCTGTCTTGTGGACTCATTCATACTTTTCCTCCATGAAGACAACTTGGGCTTTTGGGGATGTACGAGAGAAGCTCATAACTTCATCTAGGGTTTCCAAAGCCTTGAAGTGGGATGCTTTCGTAATAACAAGTTCCTCAAGGGCAGGAGAGTTTAAAAGGGTTGTTTTAACAAATAGAACTTCCAGTCTGTATCCATGAAAAAATTGCATCTTCACTGTCTTAAGCATTTTCAGTCCATTTCTAAGAACAGAGCTGTAGGGATACTCCACAATCCTGGAAGCATCTTCTTCATCATCTCTTTGTCCATACTACGTGCAATACAAGGAAAAGAGAAATAGAAACAACATTAGCATTTGCTGACTGGTCAGAAATTTGGAGAAAATAATGAACACAAAATCGTAATCCCCAAATGAGTAGGTATTTAATAGGTCTTACATAATGCCATGTCTTAATTCCAAGTTCATGTAGCTTTGGACATTTTTGAATCAATTCGGTAATAAAGGTGAAGTGCTTCGCACGAACAAAATTGACACTATGAATCACAACCACTTGCAGATTTGTTGCAATTGGGAAAGTCCTTACAGCTACAGCATCAGGTGTATCCTTGAAAAAAAGAACACAAGTTACCCTTGGAACATAAGAACACAAAACAAAATATTTCACTATCACATCTGCATAACAAAGTGTATATAGTAAAAGATTTATTCTTACCGACAACAAATCTGCATGCATGTAAAGAGTATTGATTACAGCAAAATGGAGCACAAACCATCTTGAATCAGTCAGACTTCTAAAATTACGATCAATAGTCAAGCTCTTTAGTTTTGGTGCACAAATCACAAAATTATCAATTCCAGGACACTTATCAAAAGAGAGCTTCTCAAGATTTGGAAGACTATAGACAGTTCCCGTGGGATCAGGCTCGAAGACTACATACTCAAAAACCAATGAAGTGACGGCAGGGAACACACAATGTGAATTAACAGGGAAGCGAAAACTGAATCCACCAATAAGGGCTTGCTGAATTGTAGGGCAAGTGACTATACACTCTTGAAGATCATATGTTTCGTTAAAATTATGAATAGAGAGGTGAAGTTTCTCAATGCCTTTTCTCGACAGAAAAAGACACCAGCGATCTATATCAGGTGGTAGTGGCATCTGAATTCTTCCAGATATGTAATACTCCTCAAACTCTGAATGCGCCAGTGTAAATTTCTTAACCGGTCCCGTCCGGAGCATGACACACCGGTTCATAATTTCAACGCAATCCACTTTAGGTTCATCGTCATCGTCAAATTGTAGAAAATGTGAGAAAAAGTTGAAATCAAAGTCCAGCTGGCCGTGAGCAAACCATACATCCTTCCAGTGAGTTGAAAGAAGAGCCATTCTGGCAGCTTCACGCATGCTCAGCAATTCGAGAATTGATTCCTTCACCTCTGCTGGTAGTTGACTTATGAAGTCCTCTGTTGCGCCCGATGTGATTTTTCTTCGACAAACACTGGCCATTACACTGATAATCTTCATCAATTAGTCGGGATTTAGTACGGAGTATATAATTATATATATGCACAGCCGGTCAGGCTATAAATAAATTACCTTACATACTTGCATAAACTTATCCTCATGAATCATGATTAATACTTATGTTAACAAATTGGACTTCTTGTATTAGCAAATAAGACTGCTTTTAATTAGAAGTAGCAAATTGGACTAGAATTCTAGAAATAAGGAATACTGATACAGCAAGGACTGTTAGGTGATTATGCTGAAATGGTTTGTGACGATAAAAGTTTTTTTAACGATTAGGCGTTATACAATGGAAAATTCCTACACCTTAAACTGAACTTCATCTTTCACAAGCCAATACGCAAAAACCTGAAGAGATTCGGAATTACATGCGAACAAAGGACCGCCGAAATCAGAAAATTAGAAAGATAACCGAAACAAACCTGTATAGATATAGCCGGAAATATGGGACGTCGTCTCCGGTTGAAGGCGTCGTGCAAAGCGGAAACCTTTGAGGCAGTTTTTGTTTTAAACATATGGAATTGTAGCCAATTTTGTACTGTACTTCCTAATCGTGTGTGGGAATAACATTATTTCATAACTCATACTCCTACGTAGTAACTTCTTTGACTTTGTTTTTCACATATTTGGAATTTATTACTACTAAGGGCATCCTCATTCAGAAATAAATATCTTGATAATGATTTGATAATCATTTTAATATTTGGAATTTGACGTAGTAAATAATTTCATTCATGAAATTACTTGATAATCATTTTAATGATGTGGATTATATTTTTTGAGATCCATTGAGAAGTTTTTGAGATTATTTTAATAGATTATTCTGAAGAATAGTTTGGTATCGAATTTTTAATCTGGATTATTCAATATTATAAGTTCTTTCTCCATCATTGAGACCTAGTACTAGGGTTGTAAACGAATCGAATCGAGTCGAATAATGAAATTTTGTATTTGTTTAATTTTTTCGAATACGAATTCAAATTCAAATACGAAACAAATATTATTTTTGATTTGTATTTATTTAACAATACGAATAGTTAACGAACTATATACGAACATCAAATCGATTTGAGCATAAATTAAGTGTTAGTCAAATATCACTTCAAAATAACTTTTCTTAGACTCCGTATTTTTTATGTTGTAAATGCATAATATGACTTAATATGTGTTTTTTAGAATTTAAATTTAATGGATCAATGCACTTTTAGATGGTGCACAATATATTAAAGTGGTGAATTAATTTTATGATTAATAAATATAAATCTATTTCAAACTTTTTGAACTAAACACTAACACAAATATTAGAAATTATACTTATAATGTGTGGAATAAGTTGATAATTGTATATATATCAAAGTCAAACAACTCTAATTTTATTCTTCAAATCGAATACATTTTTATTTGTATTGTATTTGAAATACATTTGAACCGGAAATTGATTTGTATTCATATTTATATTATGGTTTATTACAAATGGGCTTGGAATGTGTATGCAAAAATGCATATATGGGCTACTCTTTGAGGTTATTGCTATCTTTTAAAAGTTATTATAATGTTATTACTATCATTATATATTAAAGTTGATATTAATATTACCATTATTATTAATCGAATATATTTGATTAATATTCGAATACACTAATATTCTTATTTATATTTGTATTTGATAACAACTCGAATCAAATTTAATATTCTTATTTGTATTTGAATTTTCCGAATTCAAATCTTCTTATATGAATTTGAATCGCGAATCGAGGACAAATTATTTGATTCACGGTATTGCATTTAATTGCCCAACTCCTGATACTCCGAACTATTGAACACGATCACACAGCTGCTGCATGCCTTTTAAACAAAATCTGCGCCTGCAAACTGTAGGGAACGGCTAGGGGAAAGCGGAATGGTGGCGGCTCTTGGAGTAAAGAAGATGGTGGCACAGTGGCACCGGCGGATCCTCGTTTGAAAAGCAAGATAGTGGTGGCTCATGGAGTATAATCAAGATGGTGGCAGATCCTCTTGGGGGAAAGCACGATGGGGGTGGGCTGGTGGTTCTTGCAAATTATTGGGAATTGGCTTGATATACATACTTATTATCTATTTAATTTAATATTTACTTGATATCTACTTATTATCTATACTTATTGTTAGTTACTTATATTTACATATTACATTTAGGTAATATATACTTATATATATTAAAGTATTAAATATAAGTGTATTACTCATCTTATAGTAATATACTTATATATTATATACTATAAACATTATATTATTTATTAGTTATACAATTATTATATCTACTTACTCCCTCCGTCCCCTTTTAAAAGTCCCGGAAGAGGGTGGCACGAGTTTTAAGAAAAGTGGGTTTGTGTGGTTGATATTAATTGATAAAGTAGGAATAAAGTAAGAATAAAGTAAGAATGATTTTGAGCTACACAAATTTTACCAAATGAGGTATGAGACATTTAAATAGGGATATCTCAATATGTTAAAATGGGACATTTAATTGGGGACGGAGGGAGTATATAGTTATTATCTACTTATAAATATAAGTGTACTACATATCTTATAGTAGTACTTATTTATTATATACTATAAACGATATATTATATATTAGTTACACTTTAATTAATAATAATGAAATTCATCATATTACTTATGCATCACACTCCCATTAATTAGTATACACATTCATACATTTTTTCAATTACTTACAATTTTTAATAATGTTAGTTCATTGGTACATTTTTTATTATTATTAATATTAGTTAATTGTTACATTTGTCATTAAAGTATTAAAGTAACTTAGTTAATTGTTTAATTATTAAAGTAGTTAATTGCTACCTTTCTCAATACTTTAAAAAACTAGTTAATTGTTACATTTCTCATTAAAGTATAAACCAAAATAGTTCATTATTTTTCAAGGAAAAAATTGTAGTTAATTGATTATGAATTGGAAGGGGGTCACTTTGACGTTCTAAAGTGGTGGAAGGAAAAAGAAAGAACGTTCCCGGTTTTATCAAAGATGGCTAAGTAAGTGCTAGCAATGCCGATATCAACAGTTGTCATGGAACAAGAATTTAGTGCAGCCGACAACGTCCTAACGGATTATAGAACAAGATTGAGCGCAAACTCTCTTGAGACGCTTGTTTGCTTCCACAATTGGTTAAAGGCCGAAGGTAGAACTCAAGAATTGAGCATCGCACCCACCCACAACTTTATGGAGGAAACAATTGAAGGCAGAGGAGATTCCGATTGATTATTTATTAGAAAATGTATTTCATTTATTAATTTTTTTCTCAATTCTCAATTGTACTTCTTACTTCAAATAAATATACTTGAACTTTTTTATATCTAGCAAGTCTTGAATTAATTGGACAACACAAAAAAAATTAAGCCTGTAACCGGCCCGACCCGGTAACCGGCCTGGTGACCCGACCCGGAACCACTGTCTACCCGGGCCGGTTCCGGTCCCCCTTCCCAAAAAAGCCCGGCTGGACCCAGGCCCGAACCGGAACCGGCCCGGATCCATCCCTACTTAACATACGTATTACTCCATTTCAGTATTTCTAATTTTCTATACATACGTAGTATGTTTTAGTTTTATTTCACTATCCCCTGAACTTTAATTACTTGAACAATGCTTTAAGGCTCACTTAAATATCAGAGTTTTGATACATGTACCTCATTTCAATGTTACAAGACAGATTAATTATAAGCTTGCATTTTTTTAATGTTTTTCTATATAATTTTATTGAATAAAAATTGTAGCTTCATGACTGAATAAATTGAAAAAACAACTCCTTCATTTTAACCCTTACTTTAAATTTCCAAAGGACTGATGGCCTCACAATGCGAAGAACTAGAAACAAGCAAACCATGTAGCATGTAACTAGGGGTGGGATCGGGTCGGGTTGGGTCGGGTTTTTGCTAGGACCGTAAAAAAAAACCAAAAAGCTTCGGGTTCTACATTTTTGGGCCCGATGGGCGGATTAATACTTTCGGGTCGGTCCGGGTTTTAAGAGCCTCAAGTTCGGGTTGGGTTCGGTTCGGGTCGGGTCGTATTGAACCCGCAAAAAAATCGAAGTGATATATCTAAACACAATTAAAATACAATTACAACAAAATTTGCAAACATCTAAACTTTTAATCAAAAAATATACTACGTACATAGTATATTAAAATCAAAGCAGTATATTTTTAATATACAAATCACACGATAGAAAATGTTGTAGAAGAACAATTGGTTCGAAAGCAAAGTAACATTCCCTCCATCCCAAATTGATTTACAAAGTCAAGATTTTTTGGTCAACCAATGTTAAAGATAAATACTCCATATTGATATATCATTCAATTTTTTATAATTAAAATTTACATATTAACAAATTACATTAAAATATATTCAAAGTTGCAAACTCCAAGTTAAATATAATTAAAAATTGACATCCAAATTAAGTGAATAAAATAAAATGGTTTGACTAAAAAAGTCATTTTTGCAAATCAATTTGGGACGGATGTAGTATAAAATAGTCCGTACGTATCATACACACACACATAAATCGGTATGATGTATTAATAGGTCATACATATTTTGTATAATATATATATATATATATTAGTTTCTTAATTAAATCGGGTTTTTTTCGGTCCGGGTCGGGCTTAAAAATTTAGAACCCGAATTAGGACCCAGGTTTTCGGGTTCGAGTCGGGTATTTCAACCCGAACCGGTCATTTTTTAAATAAAACCCGGACCAATATCATATATCGGGTTGGGTCGGTTCAGTTATCGGGTTTTGGGTCAGTTTTTCCCACCCCTACATGTAACAAGCAAACCATTATTTATTTACAAGGACGTGATTGTTTAACATAGGGAGATTTACCTAAATAGGACTAAATAAAAGGATAATGGCAACAATAGGAGTTTAAAGTTTAAATTCCCAAAATAGGATTAACTTTTCCTATTCTACCCTTTCCTTTATCCTTCATAATAGGTTTTTTAAACAATCATTATAAAATATAAAAATATTTTAAAAAAAAATTAAAATCGTTAAAAATAAATAAAAAAATATACAGACCACAACCACCACCTCAGCCACCTTCCGGTACCGCCACCTCCGGTCACCGGAAAAGATTGCCAAGTTGGGGAAAAAATGTCATCATAATGGCAATTTTGAAGAGAAAGCTGGATATTTTCAAAGAGTAAAAATGTCATCTTCATGACATTTTCAAAGAAATGTGACATTTTTTACACAAGATGGCATTTTTTTCCGGTGACCGGAGATGGTGGTGCTGGGAGGTAGAGGTCGTGTTGGCAGTGACCTACATATTTTTTAAATATTTTTTTAGGTATTTTATTTTATTTTTTAGACTTTTTGAAGTTTTTAAATTTTTTTTATTTTTATTTTTTTATTTTAAATTTTATTTTTTCACGTTTTTATTATTAATTTATAAATATTTCATTATTTTTAAATTTTTTACTATAAATAAAACCATGATTTTCTTATTAATAAAATAAATCTATTGAAAATTATAGGAAGAGGTAGAATGGGAAGAAGGGGCATATATTAGTCCTATTTTGGGAATAAAGGGATTGTACTCCTATTGTTGAATTGTGGGCTTATTTTAGTCCTATTAAGGGCTAATACCCGTTTAACATATTAAGCGTAAGAAATTAAGAATGTGAGATTACAATTAAAAAGGTAAATCTATAAACCATGATGTCATAAATCGTTAACCAAACTAGCTAACACTTAATTTCAAATGAGGCCTTTATAGCGGAGCAGTCAGCTACTTGGTATTTTCTTCTCCCATTGACATTTATTTGGAGACCTTATATGATTATAAGAAACCCTTGTAAACTCCAAAGATCAAATAACAAATTACTACTTGACCAAAGAATTACACGTTTTTAGAGCAAAATGCAGTGCACTTTAGACATCAAATGGCTCATAGTACTCTAAAAGGTAATGCACTTACTAAAGTTGATACAAACCACTAAAATACTTTCTTAACTTCTAGCAAACCAAGAGAAACATCGGAGAATATGCAACACATGCATGGAAGAACCTATGTGGTAGGCTGACTTGTAGACTCATACTTTTCCTCTAAGAAGACAACTTGGGCTTTTGGGGATGAACGAGAGAAGCTCATAACTTCCTCTAGGATTTCGAGAGCCTTGAAGTGGACTACTTTCGTAATAACAAGTTCCTCAAGGGAGGGTGAGTTTAAAAGGATTGTTTTAACAAATAGCACTTCGAGTCTGTATCCATGAAAAAATTGCATCTTTACCGTTTTAAGCATTTTCAGTCCCTTTCTTAGAACACAGCTGAAGGGATACTCCAAAATCCTCGAAGCATCCTCTTCATCATCTCTTTGGCAATACTACTTGCAAGACAAAGAAAAGAGAAATAGAAACAGCATATGCTGACTGGTCAGAAATTTGGAGAACAGAATAAAAACAAACTCATAAATTCATAATCCCCAATTGAGTAGGTATTTAATAGGTCTTACATAATGCGATGTCTCAATTCCAAGTTCATGTAGCGTTGGACATTTTTGAATCAATTCGGTAACAAAGGTGAAGTGCTTCGCACGAACAAAATTGACATGATGAATCACAACCACTTGCAGATTTTTTGCAATTGGGAACGTCCTTGCAGCTACGGCATCAGGTGTATGCTTTAAAACAAGAACAAAAGTTAACCTTGGAATATCTTTAACAAGCCAGAGTGAAGATACATAAGAAAACCAAACAAAAAATTACACTATCACATCTCCATAACAAAAAATAACTAAAAGATTTATTCTTACCGACAACAAATCTGCATGCAAGTAAAGAGTATTGATTACAGCAAAATGGAGCACAAACCATCTTGAAGCAGCCACACTTTTAAAACTACGGTCAATAGTTAAGCTCTTTAGTTTTGGTGCGCTAATCACAAAATTATCAATCCCAGGACAGTTATCAAAAGAAAGCTTCTCCAAATTAGGAAGACTGTAGACTGTTCCAGAGGGATCAGGCTCGAATATAACAAACTCAAAAACCAATGAAGTGACAGCAGGAAACACACAATGTGAATTAACAGGGAAGCGAAAACTGAATCCACCAATAAGGACTTGCTTAATTGAAGGGCAAGTGATTATACACTCTTGAAGAATATATGTTTCTTTAAAATTATGAATAGAAAGGTGAAGTTCCTCAATGCCATGTCTCGACAGAAAAAGACACCAACGATCTATATCAGGTGGTAGTGGCATAGGAAGTCTTCCAGATATGCAATACTCCTCATACTCTGAATGCGCCAGTGTAAACTTCTTAACCGGTCCCGTCCGGAGCATGACACACCGGTTCATTGTTTCAACGCAATCCTCTAGGGGTTCATCGTCATCGTCGAATTGTAGAAAATGGAAGAAGAAGTTCAAACCAAATTCCAGCTGGCCGTGGGCAAACCAGACATCCTTCCAGTGAGTTGAAAGAAGAGCCATTCTGGCAGCTTCACGCATGTTCAACAATTCTAGAATTGATTCCTTCAGTTCCGCTGGTAGTTGACTTATTAAGTCCTCTCTTTCGCCTGATGTGGTCTTTCTTCGACAAACACTGGCCATTACACTGATAATCTTCATTAATTAGTTGGTTTTTAGTACATAACATGCATAGCCGGGCAGGCAATGAATCATGATAAATACTTCTGTTAACAAATTGGACTTCTAGTATTAGCAAATAAGACTGTTTATATTGTTTAATTAGAACTACCAAATTGCACTGCAAATAAGGAATACTACTGATATAGCAAGGATTGTTAGGTGATTATGCTGAAATGGTGTGTGATGATAAAAGTTTTTATAACAATTAGGCGTAATACAATGGAACATTTCTACATTTTAAACTGAACTTCATCTTTCACAAGCCAATACGCACAATCTGAAAGAGATTCTGGCCAAAGAACAATAAACATTCATAATTGTGGGATTTGTGGCGAGCTTTTAAAAATATAAAATAACCGAAACAAAAAAACGAAACAAACCTCTATTGATATAGGTGATATCGCCTGCGGTTGAAGGTGGAAAGCTTTGAGCCAGTGTTTTGCCTAAAAACCGATGCAATTGAGCCAATTTAGGGTGGGTTCTATTTTTAAATAATACTCCGTAACGTTCTTTCCATAAACTTCTTTAACTTTCTTTTTCATATATTCGCAATTTATTACTAGTAGTACTAATCAATGTGTCTTACCATAAAAGGGGTTAGATCAGCAATATTACCAATTAAAATGATTTAGACAAATATAAGACTTGTTTTAATAATTTCCAAAAAAGAGGCCTTCCGTAGCAGAATTATAAAAATGGGACGCATATACCCTTAATGGCTACAGCAACAATACGCAACACCCTAGTAGGCTAATACTAACTACTTGTTGACATGAAGAAGAAAAAGGGGTCAACTATACTTGTGTGACCAGAAACTATGAGCTAGTGATTGTGGCAGTTGGCAGATTCAAAATTTGAAAATATAGATGTTGGAGAGATGAGACAATCTGTCTTGTCTTTATCATTATTCTTGTAAGCTTAAATAGACAACTCTTGTAATAGATTTAATATAGGGAGAAATAAACTCCTCTATACTATTCTCTTCTCTCTCAAAACTCTCTTTCTCTCATCCCAGATTTCACAATCTATCTAAACTAGTTACTCTTTCTACATTCTAAACTCCTAACACTCAAATTCTCACATGGTATCAGAGCATACAAGCTCTTGAAACCTTTATTGTCTTCCGCAATTCACTCTGTTTCATCTCGTTTATCAAACCTTTTCTTATATACACTCTTTTCCCACTGATTAATAGCTCTTCAAGATGGAGAACTCTAAGATGGTGATGATTCCAGTTACCCTAAAGGGAGTAAACTATCTGTTATGGTCCAGAATGGTCAAAACCGCACTTGGAGGAAGGGGTCTATGGAACCATGTTTCTATTGGTGAAGTCCCTAAGAAAACCATCCAAGAGAAAGATGGTGTTGAAATGGTCTTGGCAGATGATAGGAAATGGGGTCAAGAGGATCTCATGGTGTTGTCCATCATCCAAAACAGCCTTGAACCATCTATTTTGGAAGCTTATTGTTACTGTGAGAGCTCTAAAGAGTTGTGGGATACACTTCAAAAGGTGGATGGCAACCTATCTAACTTGAGCCGTGTGTATGAAGTCAAGAAGTCGATTAACACACTTAACCAGGAGGACACAGACTTTACTCAGCATTTTGGCAAGTTCAGGAATCTTTGGGCTGAGCTTGAGATGCTGAGACCAAGTACTGTCGATCCCAAAGTGTTAAATGAGAGGCGTGAGCAGGATAAAGTCTTTGCGTTGCTTTTCACCTTAAACTCGGGGTACAATGATCTCATTAAATACATTTTGAGGGCTGAAAAACTACCATCACTTGAAGAGGTGTGTGCTCAAATCCAGAAGGAACAAGGCTCTCAAGGTCTCTTTGGAGGAAAAGGTGAACTCGTGATGGCAAACAAGGCTGATGGAGCAGTAGCTAATAAAGGGATTTACAAACCAGAGGAGAGAATGATGTGGATCTGTGACCATTGCAAGAAGAAGGGGCACATGAAGGACAAGTGTTGGATACTGCATCCTCACCTCAAGCCTCACAAGTTCAGGGAGCCAAGGTCACAGTTCATGGGCGCAAGAGCTCATTTCTCAGGAAACATGGGAGAACCAACTCCATCGGTATGCTCGTCCATGTGCTCCAATGCTACTGGAGAAGGAAGGTCTGTGGCATCAAGCTTCCAGTCCACCTCGAGAACAACTAAGGATGAGACCATCAAGAGGTCAGATCTGGATGCTCTCATCAAAGCTCTCAAGGAGAACTCTGGTAACACTCTTGGTACTTCATTAAGTGCATCAACCATTGCTAGGCCTTTAATTATTGATTCAGGAGCTTCACACCATATGATTAGTGACTCTAGCCTGATAAGAAATGTTGAACCGGCCTTAGGTAATGTTATGATCGCAAATGGTGACAAAATACCAATAAAAGGAACAGGAACTCTTAAGTTGTTTGATAAGGTGTCTAAAGCTTTTTATATGCCAACCTTTGCATCCAACTTGCTATCTGTTAAAAGGGCTGCTACTGATCTAAAGTGCAAAGTTATTTTCAGTCCTAATGATGTTCATTTTCAGGATATTAAGACTAGTAGACTGATTGGCAAAGGTGTGACACAAGGAGACTTATACTTACTCGAAGACACCAAGCTTGTTTCTGATTCCTCTTGTGCTTTTAGTTCTATTCCTGCTTTAGACAATGATGTGTTATGGCATGCTAGATTAGGCCATCCTCATTCTCGTGCATTAAACTTGTTGTTACCTGAAATTTCCTTTAAAAATGATGGTTGTGAGGCATGTATTCTTGGCAAACATTGCAAGACTGTTTTTCCTACATCAATGACCATCTATGAACATTGCTTTGATCTTATACACTCAGATGTTTGGACAGCACCATGTGAATCTAGAGAGAACCATAAGTATTTTGTGACTTTCATAGATCAAAAATCTAAGTATACATGGCTTACAATGATCCAATCCAAAGATAGGGTGCTAGAAGCGTTTATCAACTTTCAAACATACATCACTAATCAGTTCAACATTAAGATCAAAGTGTTTAGGTCAGATAATGGGGGGGAATACACAAGTCATGCTTTCAAAAATCATCTAAACAAGCATGGAATCATTCATCAAACGAGCTGCCCATATACACCACAACAAAACGGTGTAGCTGAGAGGAAGAATAGGCATCTCATGGAAGTGGCAAGGTCTATGATGTTCTATACCAATGTACCCAAGAGGTTCTGGAATGATGCTGTCATGACAGCATGCTACCTCATAAACAGAATTCCAACAAGAGTACTTGGTGACATCTCACCATATGAGGTATTGAATAAAACTAAGCCCTCTATTAACCACTTAAGGGTGTTTGGGTGTTTGTGTTATGTGTTACAGCCAGGAGAACAGAGAAACAAACTTGAAGCAAAAAGTATCAAGGCTGTGTTTCTCGGTTACTCAACTACTCAGAAGGGTTACAAGTGCTATGATCCAAAAACCAGAAGAGTTTTAGTCTCTAGAGATGTCAAATGTGTGGAATCCAAAGGGTATTATGAGGAGAAGAGTTGGGACAACCTAAAAGACCTCTCTCAAGCACCCTCAGTTAGGGCAAATAACTTGAGGCGTATTTTGGAAAGTCTTGGCATCAGTCTATCACATGAGAGTCAGGAAACCAGAACATCATCACCTCCTGAAGCTGACAGAGAAAGGACTGAGGGGGTGGAAGAGGTTGGAGAAGCCATTCATCCTGATCATGAGGGGGGAAATCAGCATGAACCTGATAATGATCTAGGAGTTCATGATCATGATGAAAGGCAAGAACAACAAGCATCAGCTACTCAAGATGATGATGATGATGATGATGAAGGGTCTAAAGAAGAGGAGCAACAAGAGGAAGTTCAAGTGCAACCACTTAGGAGAAGCACAAGGATCAGTAAACCTTCTAAGTGGGCAGACACAAGGGTTTACTTCAACGGTCAAGCTGTAGCTCATCCAATACAAGTTGTCTCCTCACTAGCTCATTACCCTCAAGTACATCAAGTTTTCATTGGACAACTAGATAAAGGACAAGTTCCAAGGTCATATGAAGAAGCAATGGAGCAAAAAGAGTGGAGAGACTCTGTTGGTGATGAGACTACTGCCATGATTGTGAATGACACTTGGTATGAATCTGAGCTTCCAAAAGGCAAGAAGGCAGTAACAAGCAAGTGGGTCTTTACCATCAAATACTTGAGCAATGGAAAGGTGGAAAGACACAAGTCAAGGCTGGTTGCAAGAGGCTTCACTCAGACTTACGGGGAGGATTATGTGGACACCTTTGCACCAGTAGCCAAGCTCCATACCATAAGGATTGTCCTCTCACTTGCAACCAACCTGGAGTGGGAGTTATGGCAGATGGATGTGAAGAATGCGTTTCTTCAAGGAGAGCTAGAAGATGAGGTTTACATGCATCCTCCCCCTGGTCTAGAACATCTAGTCAAACCAGGAAATGTGTTGAGGTTAAAGAAGGCTATCTATGGGCTGAAGCAATCACCAAGGGCTTGGTATCACAAACTGAGCACCACTCTGAATGGTAGAGGCTTTAGACGATCTGAGGCTGATCACACCCTCTTCACTCTCTCCAGTCCTCAAGGTATTGTTGTCATCCTTGTATATGTTGATGATATCATCATCACAGGGAGTGACAAGGAAGGTATACAATCCACTAAATCCTTTCTAAAGTCTGTATTTGATATTAAAGATTTAGGTGAATTAAAGTACTTCCTAGGAATTGAAGTATGCCGCTCTAAAGAGGGGCTCTTCTTATCCCAAAGGAAGTACACTCTTGATTTGTTGAGTGAGGCAGGAAACCTTGGAGGAAGATCAGCGAAAACTCCACTTGAGGAAGGATACAAAGTCTTGAGAGAGGGGGAGTTTGAGGACAAACCATTTGAAGATGTCAAACAATATAGAAGGATGGTTGGTAAGTTAATCTACTTAACCATTACACGACCTGACATTTGTTTTGCTGTGAACCAGGTGAGTCAACATATGCAGGCTCCCAAGGTTCACCATTGGAACATGGTTGAAAGGATCATGAGATACTTGAAAGAGGCTCCTGGTCAAGGAGTATGGATGAGTTGTAACAGAAGCACAGAAATTGTGGGATATTGTGATGCTGATTGGGCAGGTGATAGAGTTGATAGGAGATCAACCACTGGTTACTGCACATTCATTGGAGGCAACTTGGTTACTTGGAAGAGTAAGAAACAAAAGGTTGTGTCATGTTCAAGTGCAGAGGCAGAGTATAGGGCAATGAGGAAGCTCACAAATGAACTTGTGTGGATTAAGGGGCTGCTTAAAGATTTGGGCATAGAGACAACATCTCCGATCACTATGCATTATTGTGATAATCAGGCTGCCATTCACATAGCCAGCAACTCGGTGTTCCATGAAAGGACAAAACACATTGAAGTAGACTGCCACAAAGTGAGACAAGCTGTGCAGCGACAAATC